ACAGGTTTGCGCCAGCCCTGCCGGCGGGCCTCCCTTGTCCGCGCGCGACGGCGAGGCGGGCGTCGATGTCTCCGTCCTCGTCGGCGCCATTGGCGCGTCGCGCCGCCCAGCGGGGCCGCTTCGGCGCGTGCGTCTGGCGAGCCGCGCCGGCGCGCGGCAGCTGCAGTTTCCAGTGAATGTGCGCGGCAGGCCGGTCAATTGCACGCTGCGCCGCGCGCCGCGCGACCCGCGGCAGTTGACGTCCTTCGCGGTGCCGCGGCTGGCGCGCCGGAGGTGCGGCTTTCGCGCGGCTGCCTTGCGACCCGCTCAATCTTGCTGTGCAAGCGGGTCGGGGTGCGTCTGCTATGCGCGCGCGTGTGCTGACGCAACGTTTTGTTTTCGTTGTGGGAAAGGCCGCAAAACATCTTCTCCGCCCCTTCCTCCCCACCAGAAAGGAGGCGAGGGGGCGACGGCTCTGCGTGGCGCGTGCAGCGCCGAGACATCCGCGCGCATCTTCGACGGGAGGATGGGCGTGCTTCCACTTTCTGACAGGCTCCCAGAAAGAAGGGGGACTATTCCGATCATTGCGAGAGTCCGCGCAGAGCAACGGCTCGGTCGCCCGCGCCGGCCAGTGGGCCCGGCGCCGACCGCGGGGCGAACGAAGCAGGGGGTCACCAGGATGATCGCGCGTCGACTTGCCGCGCACCTCGGATGCTGGTTGCGGAGGGCGGATCGCCTGGCCAAGCGCCGCCGCAAATCAGCGGATAGCTGGCGCTGCCGTGCGTTGCGGTAGTTGTTGCTGACCAGCTGGGCTCCCTTCCCGTGGGTCCCGCGGGTTCACGCGGTAGTTGTCGCTGACCAGCGCGACTCCCTTCCCGGGCCAGGCCGTAATCGCGGGGCGGATATTCGGGCAGTTATTCGCGTCTGTCCAGCCGTGGAACAACAACGCACCGTGGGCCAACATCGAATTTGGACAATCTCGTGACCGCGAAACATCCCCGGTAGCTCACAACTAGGTGTTGGTACTTACGACAAATGCAGTTGCCGTTGTGGCGTGAAGTGCGAGCATGCGATCTCATGTATGAAGATAGCTTTCCATCCCCGTGCTTCCCGAACGTCGTCGACGAAGGCGCTGCTTGCTCCTTGGCCCGGCCCTGCGCGCGCGCAGGATTTCGGCTGCCGACGGGTTGCTGCCTGCGCTGCATTCTTCGCGACAGCTCTTAGCGCGGTCTACTGCAGGCCCGCGGCGCCGACAGTGGGAGTGGCCAGCTGTGCCCGCTCGGGCGCGCCAGTCTCTCGGGGCCTGCGTGGGTCGGGCCAGGTCCGGGGTGTGTGACGGGCTTCGGGCGCGCCCCGTCTGGCGGCCCCGCCGCGACTCCCGCGTCGTCGCTGGGCGCGGGTTCGTGGCGCGGTCCGCCTGGGGGCCGCTGCCAGTGGCCCGCGCTATCGCATGGCTCCGATCGGCGCGGGCCTTTGGCGGGCTCTGCCTGGGGGCCGCAGCAAGCGACCGCGCGACAAATCGGGCCCGCCCTGCCGCTCGCCGCAGGTTTCCAACGCGCCCTGCCTGAGAGCAGCCGCCGCTGGCTACTTCGCCGCAGGGGGCGCGCGGGCCATCGTTTGGCGCTACCTCGGCAGAGGTGGCCGAGTTTGGGAGGGGGACTTCCCGGAAGAGTCATGCAGATGCCGCGGGCGCCCCGCGACGTGTGCCATTGCGACGAGTGCGTCGGCGAGTGTGTCGACGATGCATGTGTGACACTCGCGAGCACCGCGGGAAGTACCTCAGCACCGAGTGCAGCAACGACGACTGCAACTGGTGCTACAACCTGCGGTGCTACGTGATGTTCGTCGACGTGGACGTGGACTTGCAAGTCAAATGGGGCGTTCAAGGGTAGGAACCTTCGAGCGACACGCTTCCACAGCGTTCGCACTCTCGCCGGGCCACCAGCCGGGCCACCAGCGCGACTGCGCACCTACCGACGCCGCGCTGCCTAAAGGCTCCGTGTGTTGGCCCGTCCTTCACGACCCGGCCAGCACCTCAGACGTGCGGCTGCTCACTCGGTGGGCGCGCAAATTTGCAATCGCGCTAGCTCGGTGCCTGCTGTGCAGACGCACCTGATCACGCGCGGTCAGCAAGACCCGCCGCCCGACGCAATCTTGAGAGCGTTGGCCCAAGTGCGACCTCTGCGCAAGGGGCTGCTGAGTTTCATCGGCCTCAGCAGTATGGGTGGCCGACTCTGGGCGACTAGGCCAAGCGCTGATGGCCGCTGGGCAATGCCTAAGCGCGCAGCGCTGGTTCGCCGAACCGCAGAATGGCAGGATGGAGGTAGTGTGAACATGTGTCCGCGCGACCCTGACCGAACGTCGCCAGTCTAGCAATGGCGAGCCAGGAGGGACACGTCCTTCGCCCGGAGACCCCGACTCACTCCCATTGTCTTGGGACACATTTGGACTTGTTACCACTCGCTCCCACTTCCTCGGGATCTTACACGAATTGTCACTACTCGCTCCGATTCTTTGGGGA